TCAGAGTGCTGAATAGTCCTTGCTGGGCTCCCGCTATCTGCTTACCTTTCGACTCTATGGTGTTGACCAGTAGCTTCAGAACTTTTTAACACGCAATTTTGTGGCTTGTTCCAAGTTTTTCACATCAACTGTAGCTATACTCCATATCCCAAAGACATAGAGGGCGTGGCTGCATATCTCATATAAGCATGGCGTTTCTCATGGGATACTTTCATTTAAGACAAGTGTGATCGTTTCTTGTGCCGCACAAAGACAAGATTACAGCGACCCAAAAGAGCAATATTCACAAGAAATGCAGTCGCAACCATGATCAGATGAAATACGCAGCAACGCCCTCCCCGTCTCTGAGATATGAAGTGGAGCCAATTGACCGAGTAAATCAGCAATCACTAAAGCAATCAAGTAGGCAGTCAATCGATTTCTTCAACCTTGATATCTAGAACGAACACTTGAAGCAACGTTATCATGAGCACAATGACATTGAAATATTGAGTAAAAAAGTGAAAAAAAAACTGGACGGGGTCTCAAATTAGGACACCCTAATATGAGACCCTCTTCCACTACGCCTTAAGTGAAATATGGATATTCACTGAAGCAGTGTAAAGGCAGCACAATCAAAATAATTGCGATCAGAACCAAAATTCTCAAAAAAGGCCAAATAAGTCGATAGATCGATAAGTGAGTTCAGTTGAAGGCGGTGAGACCAATTGTGCCACAAGCTAGTGGAGTTTCATCTTTGTTCTTCTGCACTGAGTATTCGGCCGTGGAAACTCTGTAAATTACCACAATGAATATCGCATTCGATATGTTCCGGTTTTTTTTGCTGTAATTTCGCCATTCACAGCTTGCGTTTCTCTCGAAGGGATAATTTCTGTCGCAGCTTCCCCACGGTCCCTCTCAAAGGTAAGCTGCAGGCCCACCTCGGCACATGGCAGGGATCTGTATTGTTGCCATGTGCAAAGGTAACTGGATCCGCAGTTACCATAGAAGTGTGACGCCTTCGTCGCTCGAAAATGCGCAGAGTGGAGCTGGAGGGTAGTGATAGCCAGACCAGAGCACAGCGCACTCTGGGGAATCTCCAGTAAGGGGAGGACGTGTTTGGTTGCCAAAGGGAAGGCAGGGAAGCGTATTTGCCCTGAGAACTTCTTTTGACAACTGAATTTTTCTGTTTCATGCGCGCTCGCATTACATCGTTGGGAGACTCCCGTTGGGAGAGGGGAGGAGGGGGTTTTGCTCGCCGCGTCCAGCAAAAAGAGGAGAGGGCCTAGATGGCCTCAAGAACTTTTTCTTCAGAGTGGGGATTTACGCGATTTTCCCGCTCCACGTGTGCTATCCCTCCTCTCCCTACTACCCCCCCCCCCCCCCCCCTCCCCTCCGCACGTAGTAGCGGCACAGGCAAAGTCCTATGCAACCGCTATTTTCGATTATTGAATATGGAAGGTGTTCAGCGGCGACCTCCGCCCCCTCATACCTTCCGCTCGACGGCAGATTTTGGGAAGAATTTGGAAAAACTGTCGGACCACTGAAAAAGTGGTAAAATTAGAGAAAAGCTATTAAGCTGGTGGAAGGTAGGATGGGGAATGACGAGAGAGTCAAAACAGAAGTGGAGATTCGGGGGTCGTATCCTACAAGAATTTTATCCAGCGACAGAAGGTGCTTTGAGTCAGAGGCCTTCTCGGACTCTCCCAGGTATTCAACGCGCTCAAGGCTAAGTCTAGCCAGGCGAGCTGCTTCTCTGTGCTCTCTCTCGTTTACTTGTACTTTTGTCCGCAACAGCCAGCTCGTTTCATATTGTTCGCTGCAGGACCATCGACGCACACGTCGAATCTTGTGCATAGAGGATGGAGCTAAAACTGCGTTCAGCTATCACATCTCTCACGTTTCATCCCCACCGTTTCATCGGGTGACACACTCATAGCTGACCTGTTCATTTCCCACATGGCATGGATCCACCTCGCAGCTAATATTATTATTATTATACAGCGTGTTTTTGAGAGCATTAACGCCAATCTCATAGGCTATATGGACTTCCGTGGAGGCGCTTTTTACTCGTGTTCATTTTTGTTTAGTCTCAGAAGGGCGATCACCGGGAAAGAACCACGGGAAGAACGCAACTAAGCCGCCCTTTTTTTGACTGTCTTTCCAGCCTAATCCACAACCATCCTTGCAAGCGCTCTGTTTACTTCTTCCACTTCTTTCGCTAATTTGCTTCTTTTCCTCAGGAGTCTTCAAAACCCTTTCGTTTCACATTCGTGACATATGTATCTCTAGGCTAACATTGGAGGGGTGGGGAGAGGCTATCCCTGCGAAAAAACTGTGAGCGCACTGGCTAGGCAGCTGCCGGTCCACTAAGACGGTTATCAAATATACATATCGAACCCTTTTTTAACTATGCTCTATCCTGCTGTCGCTTCTGCTTGAACCGGCGACTGTCTAAAGCTGCTGCCCTCACAACTTCACCGGTCTAGGGACAGCTGCAGAGAGAGAAAGAGTTGTAGTTGCCTCCGACAAAAATGTTCCCCATTGTTTGACTTCTCGGCCTCTTCCCTTACACCGCCCCGGCTCCCGCCTGCAATCAGTCTCTTTGGAGAAAACCGGAGAATTTTTAGAGGAAAAAAATCCCAGAAAACTGGTCGGGATGCTACGAAATCGGGACTTTTGAAGACACATGGTACAATCACACATAGTTTGGTGTGCGTGACTATCAGCCCCCCAGCTGTCGAAGCGTAGCGGTTTCCCCGTCCTAACATGCGCAGGAATGGAGATACAGGAACGCTAATTCCTCCATGCTCCGCCCAATACCTTTTGCGGCGCAGACTCCCGTTCATGCTAACAGCCGTCGTTTGCGCGCGTGTCGCGCGCAGCTCTCTTGGCACTTTGCCAAGTTCTGTAATTGCGTTTGGAATACGAGTAAACGGCAACTTCTTGATGCTTACGTCGGTAACACCTTGATGTGCTGCAAAATAAAACCGAAGATGATGACGAGGGCCAGAACTCAAGAGCAACTGTGCTGCTTCTGCAATATCCCTCGGAGGCCGCGCATTCCCACAAAACATGAAAATAAAAACGGCCTAAGCGTCCCACTCGTTAGTTCAAAGTATTTCTATGGCTTTGGAGCCGAATTCGCGCCGGATCGCAGAAATTTACACGCGATTTTAATTTATTGCGTTTCCTTAATTTTTTCAATTTTTGTTTTATTTACATCTACATTCGTTGTTCTTCATTTCTAGCCTTTGTCATCTTCATCACCTTCTATTCGGACTTTGCAGCATGAGCAACACCTCAAATGTTATCCGCATCAGGAAATTGCGTTTTACTTGTATTCCAAAGCGCAATTACAGGACTTGGCAAAAAGCCAAGAGCGCTGCGCGCGACACGCGCCGCGCGGACGGCTGTTAGCATAAACGGGAGTCTGCGCCGCAAAAGGCATTGGGCGGAGCATGGAGGAATTAGCGTGTTTCACGGTCCTGTATCTCCATTCCTGCGCATGTTAGGACGGGGAAACCGCTACGCTTCGACAGCTGGGGGCTGATAGTCACGCACACCCAAACTATGTGTGATCGTACCATGTGTCTTTAAAATCTGTTCCTAAAAGTGGATGTGTAGGGGGGGTCATAGTAGAGTAGGTTATTTGAGGTGGTATTTTGCAAGCTTTCCCCCAACGGCAGGACGTGCCCTGTGTTCACTCCTCCCTCCACCGTCGGAATACAGACTTTATGCGATTCTTCCACCACTCGACTACACGCCCTCTCATGGGAAGTCCACCTCTTCTAATCCTATTTGTCACCTTGTTGTTCGACCAAGTTGAGGTTTTTGCTAAAATCGCATTAAATAAATCGTGCTTGAACGAGGTGTGTGCATCGAAAACCATAGCAACTCGATGAACGTTAGGAGTAGGGAAAAAGTTGAATTGAAAAATAATTGAATTATGAAGCGAGTTTTCTAAAATTCCATACTCAGGAAGAAATAAGGGGGCTGATTTACCTGTAAATGGAGATGGAACGTCCTACGACTTCGGAAATAGGCCAATCCACAACTCGATCGAACGTAGCCGTCGAAGAATCGTCGACTAAACCGAAAGTTTTAAAAATATCATTGGATATCGTAGGAAATATCTGTACATAAGGCGGCACTAATTACCTTAGGAGGTGCCACACCTGTAAGGGCTTATTAGCATACCGAATCCTGTACGGTATACATGTGAACACCGGAAAAACTTAGTAACACCCTGTGAGCCTTGTCAACACCTGTGAAGCATCGCATTCCATGACGTCAACAATTATCTCCAAGCTTGACGAGAGTTTACAGTGTACTTGACAGGAGTGTACAGGGTGAGACATGACTGCGCAGAGACGAAAAAATCCGTGGCACAGGGGTATGTGACAGAGAAATCGTGATTTAGAGAACTCGCACAATGTGGGCGTCGCCGGTTGCGACGATCGCGCCGCCATTGACGATGACTTCTGGAGTCGTAAATTGCGTCGTGAATAGACAATAGAAGACCAAAAACAACTATAAATTTCCACGATATTTCACTCTACATGAAATACGACGCCCCAATCAGAAGGGTAATGCGAATAAAGAAAACGTCGCGCCCATCGCCGCGTGCGACGAAACGGTAGATCACGATTCTCTTGTCCGTCTCCCGTGACAAAAGGTCCACCACATTCAACCATTTGAGCATCGATACTTCTTCTTTGGGAGACACTATAGAACGCCAAGGTTACTAGTCAGTTTTCAAGAAGAATAGGAAACAAGGAAAGATATCCTCCAGGACAAGATCCTTCGTAGTCGTCATTCCTAGGGTTTTTGAATTTTTTTTCAGTTTAATTCAAGCTGAAAAATCCACGATAACTCCTCTGATTTCCTCTGATTTTTTTCCATATAAAACTTTTTACGAGACTCACCAACAACATCTCCTAATGAAGGTGTTCCCATGCCGTCTTTGAACAAAAACGGCGGCCCAAGATGACTGCAACCCTCTGACAAATCACCGAATTGATGAATAAGAACAGCGTGCTCACCACGAGGCAGTCCACTGAGTACACCTGAATTTTTGAACATCAACAGATGCAATTTGGGGGGGGGGGGGGCAATGAAGCAGAGCTGCACTACTCACCACTTATTCGAAGATTATTGGCGCTGATCTGCGTGAAGCTGAACCGTCCACTGACGGGCTTTTGCGATGGAATCAAATTTGCCGTGGCTAGCTAAAGCTTAGATTACGTTTGAAAAGGCCTTTCTTTGTTCCTTCCCACCCTCAAGATAATGGCAAGTGATTAATAAAATAAATAATTACTCCACCTGCTGATCTGAAAACGGGTCCTTTGGTACTACTGGAATCTCTTTAATCGTTGCTCGAGGTTCGTCATTACTCGCTAAATTAGCAAACATGAGTTCCTCAATCAATACG